GTGTGTGTGTGTGTGTGTGTGTGTGTGTGTGTGTGTGTGTGTGTGTGTGTGTGTGTGTGTTGAGAGAGAGAGAGAGAGCGAGAGCTCTACAGGTGCTTCAGCAGGGCTTTTTGGTGCTTTTGTCTAATAGCTGATTCGATCAGCTTTTTTGTTTTTTGGGGGGAGGGGTTTTATAGCTGCAAGCAATCTCTGTGACTTAACTTTATGATAGTCAAACAAAATAGACATATTCATGGTTTTTTAGGGACCCAAGTAAAGTGGAACAGAAAGCCTGACAGAGGGTATAGGATTTGGCCCTACCTGCTTGTTAGACTGTCACAGTCTGGAGCAGTTAGAATGCCCCTCATCCCACATATTTTCCCATCACACTTTTACCTTCTGTCGCTGCTGAATATTGCTCATTGTGTCTGGCTGAAACTCCAGCTTGTCTGTTCGGCACAGCTTCCAGTACAAAATAATAATGATAAGCAGCACCACGGCCACAGGAACTGCCACACCAACGATAATCCACAGACTGTTGTTCTGTGACTCGGAAGATGACTGCTTCACTCTCTCCACAGCTACAGTTAGAAGAGAGTGGAAGGGAGACAAAAGTTGTATTTAGTTATATATACTGCAAGCTGTCATTCAAGTATATATACACACATACGTTATAAACACGCACATGCGCGTGCCTCTCCACCCATATATATTAACGATATACACATACATACACACTATTATTTCTATGCTGTTATAATTGCTAGCTAAGAATTACATTTGTAGTAGATTAGAAAACAGACTGGGCAACAGGGTTCTCATTAGATCATTTAACCTGATTAATTAAACCATATCAAAATGCTTAAGCCAATGTAGCTTGATAAAACGCATTAACATTTTTTACATATCAACAACAATTATGTGGAAGATTTTTTTAGCATTCCTGCCTGAGCCCTAAATTTGCTATTATCAGCTGTCTATTCTCTCTCTCACTAACCTCAAATTTTGGACAAAACTATTTAATTCTGCAAAGGATCATAACTAATTTGAAATCTAGGAGTTACAGTGAAGCTAACTGCACACAAAGTAAAAGAAGCCTGGAAGAGACAGATATTTTCTTTCAATCCATTTCATTGACATTAATTGTAACTGTTACCTGAAACAATAGCATGTAAAACGTTTTCAGTTGAAACTCATTTTTAAAGAAACAATTTCAAATTAAAAACAATATTTCTGTGCAAATTCATTTTGTAGTTTGTTCTCATACATTCAGATAGTGCATCTAGAGACTGGAGGAAAATAATTCTCGCTACGTTTCACTTATTTTTACTTGGTACATTTGACAGTACTTTGTGAACAGTCAGTTTCACTGTATCCTTTGTTAGAGTAAATTTCCACCCTTCTGTTTGCCCTATTCTTACTGGGAGAGAAAACCAAACAATCTTTAAAACAAAACAAAACATTTATTATTTAAGATCCTCACATGGTTTTAAATTACTGTTTTGAATTAAAATTTCAGTTAAATGAATAAAAATATGAGAACAGGCTGGAAAAAAAAAAAAGTCAGACTTGTTCAACAACTGGTATTTCCTCTAAAGTCCTAAGGCTGCTTTATTCTTACAATCCCGATTTTTTGCATAATAAATACTACACTGTGGCTGCCCTCAGAGGATAGCTCTACAAGTTCAAAATGGAGGGACATTATGAAAGCAGGACAATAGCATTTAGAACAGCAGCCTTGGGAGGCTGCTATAATTTAGCTCTCCAGGATTGTCTAAGTTCTGACCCCAGAACCTCTCAGGATCAAGAGGATATGAAGATGGATTTAAAGCCATCTTAGTCGCAAATCTACTTGGCTTTGAATTCCATGCTGTACTCTTTTAGAGCTTCTGAATCAGCCATCATCTCACAAATATAAATCATGCACTTCAGACATCTATAACTAACATCATGTAGTAGGAGTTTCATTGTGGCCATAATGTAGCCATCCCTAACATCATAAATGCAGAGTAGAAATAGCACCACTCGACCTGGAGCTGGTTAGGCTTCAGACAGAGTATTGTATCTAGGTTTAGGCATTTTCTAAAGAAGGTTGAAACCCTGGAGAGAATCCACAGATGAGACAAAAGATGATAAAGGGGCTGGAATGCAAATTGTATACAAATAGGTTAATGGAACTAGGTACATTAAGTCTGGAGGATAGGGGACATGATAGCAGTTTCCAAACATTGGTAAGACCACCATAAGGAAGAGGGAGAACATTTGTTCCTAGACAGGGCAGGGCAAGAAGGAATGGGTAAGACTGCAACAAAGAAAATTTAAATTAATTTAGTGTCCTAAGTATAAGAACAGTGGGACAACAGAACAAGATGCCTAGAGAAGCTGTGGAATCTCCTTCATAGGAGATTTTTAAGCAGAGGCTGGATGAGTAGGATGGGTCAGGAACGGTGTATTCTCTACATCCATGGAGGATGTTGGAATAATGATCTAAAAGGTCCCTTACAATCCTATAATTCTATGACGTGACGGGCAGTAGATTTTTTTTTTTTGTGGAAGTCCCCAGCTTTCCATAAGTAGGGTCACTCTTCCTTTTCTTCACTGGTACCAGTGCAGATTTGGTGGGACTTACGTTGTGCAACTGTGCCTTGAATCCGGTAGCCGAGAATGATGGCAGCTCTCTGGATGTTGACTCTGTTGATTAGGTCTGAACATTTTACAGCACTAAGCCTCTCCCCATCTTGATCCTCCACAAAGTAGACTAGCTCTACAGGGAAATCAGCACCCTCTAACCGCGACACATTCACAATCTGAAAAGAAAAATAATTTTTAAACTTCATTTTTTTCTTTTTGGCTTCCCTTCAACTCACTCCCCACTGATACATTTACAGAGCTTGCATCATATAAGGACTTAATAAAGAAAGGCAGCAGGTACAGCTTCATGAAGGAAGAACCACCGCTTCTCTTGATTGCCACTGGCTCCAACCCCAATGAATCAAGAGAAAAAAGCTCCAAATTAGATCCCAGTGTGCCAACCTGTGGCTGCAAAAGCCAAATTCTAATGTCTAGGAGACTGTGCACATCACAGAACTTGAATAAGGGCTGCTTGCTGAAATTTGGAAATTGGTGGTACTCTGACCTGACCAGCAGTGTACACCATACAGTGTAAAGGTCACTGGAATACTGTAAAGATAAAGACACAGCAAAAAAAACAAACAAACAAAACAAGGACACCAAAACAAAAGAAAACAAAAAACCTAATTCTACAAAGGCAAATATCCCTGATTTTAGCAACTTTTACTTAATGCTGAACAAATCTGGATGCCAACTGATTTTTCTGCATTTATAAATTATTATAATAATTTGCACCCAAACTAAAACATGATATCACTGTTACAACAACAACAACATTACTACTACACTTATTTAGAAAAGATTTCAAATGGAACTGTTCCAATGGAAGATTATACCAGTTCACTAATAAATCAGCATCCAAATGATAAAAATGAGTATTCAAATGCTTCAGCACACTGAGAAATCTACAGAAGCAGCTGTCTTGTAACCGAGAAAGCAGCAGCTTACAGTGTACAGCAGGGGTGCTCAACCTCTGGCCCACAGGCCAAATGCAGTCCATCAAGCCTTGAATCCGGGCCTATGGGGCTCTCCACGGCTTGGGAAATTTGGTGATGGGGGACCAGTGGCAGTATTGCCACCCCTCCCTGCCACCAATGTCCCAAGCCCCATGGAGCGAGTCTGATCTGGACTACAATGCTTTCCCCACATGGCGAGACTGGAGCCAGGCCATGCCCCCTTTCCTCCTGGCCCCAGACTGCATTCCCTTCTCCCCAGGAGGCTGGGCTGAGCCATGCTCCCTTTTCTCTGCCTGGCCAGGTTGGGGCTGGGCCATGTCCCCTCTCTCCATGTGGTTGGTATGGGAGGAGACATGTCACCTCCTCAATCCCACTCGCAGGGCTAGGCCATGCCCTTTACCCCTCAACCTTGATGAGGCTTGATCAGGGCTAAACCATGCTCCCTCCTTCCTGCAAGGCTGAACTGGGCCCAGGTCACAGCCCCTCCCCCATGCAGGGCCAGGTTCTGGCTGGCCCAAACCCCCCTATACTGAGCAGCTGAATTGGGACCAGGCTCCCCTTCTCCCCTCTCTGTGCACCCAGATGGGGCCCTGCCAGTTCCGGCCCACAGAGGGATTAGGCACTGCCCATCCAGTCTGCCGACCAAAACGGTTGAGCACCATTAGTGTACACTATTCACTTTGAGAATAAAATGTGAAGTTCCTGGCTTTTCTGACTTTGTTTCACAATGCTGATGCTAATGTACAGATTTGCTGATGTGGGAATGGGAGTTGGAAGGACTTAATTATTCAGATTTGTGCCAACTAAAAAAGAAATTGTTTTCAAACTGCACTGTTTACAGTAGTTAGTAGGTGAAGGCAAGGACTTGTAATACCCTAGCAGTTCCTGGGAACAAAATGGGTTCTCTTGCTGTTCTGGAATTCCAAGAGTTGTTCAGGGATTTTTGACAACTGCATGTAAGATCTTAAGAGCTTGGAGGCAGTTTTGGGGATCATATCCTTAATTCTATGAAGGTCCGTTATGGGGGAGGGCTTAAAAAAAAATTAAAGGTTTGTATTTTGAAACAGAACTCTCTTTGCTCTGAAAGTCTAAAATGTTTCACGCCCACCTTAAAATGTGCCCATTTTCATTGGAAGGTCTCTGACAAAACACTGTGGCAGAAATATGGTTTGATTTCACTTGCTCTTCTCTAAATACCTATCAAAATTTCACACTTTAACTTGTTTTACCTGTTTTAATTCCAAATAATTTTGTTGAGATATATATTTACACATTACCCAAAAACATACGCTTTCTATTTGCTGTAAAGGAACCATCTGTCCATCCTCAACTAGAACAACTAAACAGTAAACTTCATATGTCTTCCTAATTAACCCTCAGACAACAAACTAAAAATTTACATGACACTCTAGGAAGCCATTCCTTCAGTGAAGTTTTAATGCCATTATAAGTAAAAAGAAGTGTGCTTTGACAAACCCCTCTAGATACTTGCTAATCAATGAACATCTAAATTGTAAATGAGACTCTCAGGAGCTGTGTTCTAAAACTAAATCTAACATATTTTAACTTCTTTTTGTTAACCATTTATATGGCTGGTTCAATTTAAAGTTCTGCAAAATACACAAAGGGATTTGAATCCACAGGTTTCATAGATTTGGTTTGAAGAGCCATATCATCTTCCCCTTCCCTCATGTGCTGGCCCTGGGTCTCATGGTACATGCTAGAATGGCCCTGTGTGCAGGGCCCACTGCATGCAGTGCCTGCTCTAGAACCCATGCCATATGTGGCACCCAGTCCAGTTGGTTGCGGGGTGGGTGGAAGGCGATCCATGGATCCCCCCACATGCTGGATCTAGTGCCTGCTCTGGCTGGTTTGGGACTGCACTCTATGCAACACCAGCTCCACCTGGTTTGGAAGCCATGCTGCATATAGCGCCTGCCCCAAGACCAGATAGAGAGGACAATTTCTAATAAACCCCCCCCACTACTGAGGAAATGCATTGCAATATCCTAGTTCATACCAATAGGGCTGGTGGCTCTTCTCTGAGGGGGGTGAGAACCAGCTTCAACTAAACACTACTCTAAGTCAGCTTATACACGGCAAAAAGGTTCTCCTAGATATTGAAAAATTAGGTTACCCTGTAAAACATAACGGAAGGAAAACAATTATTTTGAAAGGCTTTCAATTACCTCATTAGGGTAACAAAATGAGGGATGATATTCAGTTTTAACATTAAAAAACCAAACAGTCAATTTTAGTACAGACATTTGAAAACAATATGCAGAGGAATTTAGATTTTTAATTTTCTATTAACAATTCTAGCAGTAAAATTAATTCTTGTATTAACAGAACATAAAGGGAACACTAAGATTGTATCTAACCTTGCAACCAGGGGGTGATGGAGTACTTAAGAGGCAGAGCTGCTGTTGAGGAGTGTGGGGGAGATTGTACTAGTTGTATTGTACAGTTGCCCAGTTATGGAAACTTTATAGCCCCTTTGCACAAGCACAGTGGTACAAAAAGATGGGTGGGGGGAGTTATTAGGATTAAGCAGGCAAGGCCTGGCCCACAGAATGCATCACACACCGAAGTAAAACCATCTCCATGAGCATTGGATTGTCACCCAATCAATGCTTTACTCTAAACTAGAAAGGGATTTCTCAGACACCGGTGCATGCAAACAATACACAACAACTGGTGCTCTATTGCCTAA